GTGGCGGTGTTGCCGCTGCAGTTCAAGAGGGACGCCACTGCTACGGGCGGCGGCGGCGCTCTGCAGAGACGAGGGTTCCATCGGAAGGACCTGTATAATCGGGCGACGGCGTCGGCGGCGGCGGTGATGGCGGCGCCGGCGAGGATCAGGCCGCTGCTGAGGCGGCCGAATTATTTCAAGAGGTCCATGCTGATGAGCCCGCTCGCGAAGGCTGTTATGAGTAGCTGGGATGATTAAAGGAACAATTTTGAAACACCTATATTTTCATATTGCGTCATTTTTCTTCTTTTGCTTAAAACAAAATAAAAGATACCCCTTTATTTCCTCAAGTATACCAGGGTACTTTTTTTTAGACAAAAAAAAATAGATTGCGCAGGTATACCAGGGAGGAGAGAATTTATTTTTTTACCCTTGTGTGGTAAAGTTGGGATATATTTGCAAAATTTTGTGCGTGTTAGAACTAAAAATTGAAAATCCTGCCATTGTGCCAATGAAATTGGAAAAAAGTTCACAACAGTCAAACCCTGTATAATGGACTTGATTTGTGCAACAGACAAGTCTGTTAGACAAAAAATTCCTTCAGACACATTGAATTACCTGTATATAAAAAATTAAAACTTTTAATTGTCGGCAATAATTTTAAGCCAACAGAAGTCTGTTAAATTGGTAGATGTTGTCTGTTGGGTGGGACAAAAAACTGCCTGCAGAGCTGGTTTGTTAGGCAAAAAACCCACACATATGGGAGGTTTGTTACAGGCAAAGGGCCACTGCATTTTATTCCAAGCCTGCAGAAAATTTTGAATGACAAAATTCTAAAAATTCCTCACTGGATGGCATTTTTTCCTGCATTCCTGGCATTGGATTAGCAATGGAGATTCCTCAGAACAATATGAAATTTGCCTCCCAGATTTGTCCTGACTTATGCATTTTCCCAACCTGGGAGCATTTCAGCAACTTTTGGACAAACTGAAATTTGCCAACCCCTGAGAAAATCTCAACACAATATGGTGTGATGGAAGGAACCCTCTGCCATCTGAGGGTTAATGGAAAAAAAAATCCCAGAATCCAGAGCCCCTCACAGGCATGGGAGTGCAGTATATCTAACCAACAAAAAAGTGAAGTGGAAATGTGATGCAAAGTCTCCAAGTCTCCTTGTACATAGAAAAAAATTCTTCAAGCAATCAAAATTTAATGAATAAGCTGGATATGCAACAGGAAGTAAAGAAAGGGAAAGATATTTACATCATTGTGCAAATTGCAGACAGTAAAAAGGGGGCAATGAAATTTCAATGGGATAAAATGGCATATCCAGTGGGGGAAAATAGATTCACATAAAAGTATTTCAAAATTCTTAATTTTCAGCAAAATGAACTGGGTTGCGGGTCTTACACAGAGGTAAGTTTTCTGGACAATTTTTTTTGCAGAAAAATGGGGTGTGCAGATTACACCAGGGTATGTGGTACTCAAGTGAATACCTTGTACAGTGAATAGGACAAGTAGCTGATTTATTTTTAATTTGTCTATAGTATTGCCCCGCATGGTGCCAGTCTGTACAGAAGTTTTGCCAGTCTACAGGAAATTTTCTTCCACATAATAAATTCATCAAAAGCGGTTTTAACCATTTTGCAGCTCTTCTGGGATTTCATTGCACAATTTTGTGCCAAAGGTAATATACAGTAAATTAATAGAATGCCTGGTATGATAAAAGGTGCCAAAGTCAAGAATGATCCCATAATTGCTTGCATAAACAAAAAGTTATTTACTGCTTGGTGGAATTTTCCCCCATATTCCTGTCATAGGATTAGCAGTGAGGGATTTCAAAAACAATGGAGCTTTCCCAGACTTTGCTGGACTTTGGCTACTCAACCACATTGCTGTGTTTTGGTGACCTTTGCTCAATCCAAACAACGGAAGCGTAAACAATTACCCAGTAGCCAGTACAGGTGGTAACTTGCAGTTTGACCATAATCTGCAGATGGACTTTAGGGTTGAATTGCAGAGCAGTCAATTTGTGAGACAATTCCAAATGGCACATTTTCTGCATGATATTTAACATTTTATGTCTCTTCTTAGGTTAAATAGCATGGCTGAGGTCAAATTTCAAGTCAATCTCCCAGCAAATTTGTCTGTAAAATTGCAGGACAGTTGAATTTCAGGAGGTCAAATCTTCTGCTGGTCTGCAAACATTTTATTGAACTTTGATGGTTTCCAAAAAATTTTATGGAAATTTATCAGCCTGCCAGCCAAAAATGCTGGTGAACACTTGTCTAACATGCCCTTTTCATGGAAAACCAACTGGACATCAAGAACTTTTTGTATGATTTCAGCAAACCTAAATTGCACTGTGTCTCTAAATTTTCTTGCTGATCTTAGTGGAGACACAATGGAAAAAGCCATTGCCATGCTAAAAAAAAAATAGTTCAAGAGTTGTTCAATACAAATTCCTGAAATCAATTTTTGGACTATTTTTCATCACAAGGACAAAACTTAACAAAGAAAAATGCCTCCTTTTGTGCATTTATTTCCATATAGCTTAAGAAAACAGAAACTTCAAAATGTTTTGACTGCATTGATGTTTAAATTGTATTTCATTTGGAAAATTGGTAATATGTGTGCAATTCCTTGCACAGTTTTTTTTTTCAGTGGTAAAATCCGCTATGATTCATTCGAGTTCATTTTCCAAATACAGTATTTCATTACAGCACATAAGTTTTAAACACAAACGAGAAAGGAATACGGCGTTTCATTTCGACATGCAGTGACATCTGCTGACGAGACGCGGAAGTAAAGTTTGTCTTCTGACTGATGTCTCATACCAGCAATAATACGTTTCGGGTGCAAAAATACCGAGAAATGTTTGAGTTCCAGGCCGATTTAACCTTTTTTGTTCCACCTCGTGTGACAAACAGACAAATAACACGGGGGACGATGTTAGCTTTATCCTGCACAAATGGATGATTTGGCGACTGCGAAAAGGCAGCGGAATCCGTGCAAAAACCCATTGTTTCGACGACTCTAGTCCGAACAGGGTGTGAAAACACGGGAATCATCTCGTTGGTGAAATACAAGTCCTTCACTGGGATATATACAGCAGCAGCAAGACAAGTTTTGTTCCCAGTACAGTAGTACACTTTCCTTTATGTTTTTTTTTCTCGTCGCTTTTGCGCCAATATTGGCACACACCCTTTGTGTCAATAACCTGGTGTTTTTGCGAAAAGCCTTCCGCCCTGTTTTCTTCCCCCTCATCCCTTGGGTTATTGTTTGCTGTTAGATTCCTGGTAAATGAAAGCTGAGAAGATTAGCCAAGTGTGCTGATTTCTCTTTTTATTTATTTTTTTTCTTGGATGTGATATCGGAAGGGGGAATCCCGACGAGAGACTTGCTAATTTGCTCTGTGTCCCCGGGTTCCAGCAGAGAGAAAAAAAAAAAAGAAAGGGTAGCGAAAAGGGTTTCTTGGGATAGGGTCAGTGTGTTGTTTAAAGTTGGCAGTCGAGGGAATAAGAGTGAACCATGATTCGGGTGTCGTGTCTGGTCATTTTTGGGGTTCTTTCCGGTGCCGCTGCCATCAAAGAAAGTGAGGTCACTTTTTAATCATCTTATTCTTCTGCTGCATATAAATCAATCGTGATTGCAAATTTTTATTTTCTGCATTGCTCTCATTTTTGATGATTTATCTCAACTGTAAAATGCCTCAGGCAATATTGCATCCAGATCATTTCGTCATATTCACCGAAAATTGACTAAATAAACACTGGAATAATTTTCCAAGATGTTTCCAGCTCTTTCTCTTGGAATTTATAATCATCTTTTTTTTTTTTTTAGAAAGAATTGCTTTTTGTATATTTTCGAAGCATCGAAACGTGACATTTTTTTGACATCCATTAGATCGATTTATTTTTTTTAATTTTAACATGAAAATTTTGAATAAATATTCAACAATTCGAACTGCAATAAACTGGCATGCAAATGAATTTTCGTACGTGTCCAAATTTCAATTCAAGATCAGAAAAAAAACAGAAGATATCGGTTTTATTCAAGCAGCTTTATTTTGCTTTAATTAGGACCTTTGTTTTATTACTCTGACTGATGCATGTCGAAATTTTAGATTTTGTCACAGATTAATTGAGGTAATACTGAAATTTTAATTTTTTCAACTTGAATAAATGTGTTTCGCGTAATTTTAAAATGCTTGAATTGGAAAGTCTGGGGAAAATTGCTCAGATATCAGCAGGGATGAATAAAAATGTTTTCCCACACCAGCTCATTTAAAATTTTTTTTTTTATTTTATTGACAAATTTAGAATGACTTTTTTTGCGTGAGATTCTTATAGGTGACAATTTGAAGATTTCAGATACAAATATGATTCCAAAACTTATGATACATTAAAATATCGTTACAGAAAAGGACTTGGGACCAGTAAAGTAGCTTCAAATGAAAAGTTAGTCATTAAGTACCTTATTTATTTACATTGTGCTTATTGGGAAAGTACCTAATAAAAATGACTTCGTTGTAATTGATTATTTGATATCGCAAAATTAATTCGAATGAGACTTTTTTTTAAATCTTGATTCTCTATAATAACATTTGTTGTCGCGAGATTCATCCTAAAAAGATTCATTGCAATGAGATTCATTCTAGCGAGATTCATTGAAACGAGATTCTTTGTAATGAGACTCGTTGGAATGAAATTCAAATCCATGGAATTCGTTTTAATGAGGTTCTACTCCAAAGGCTCTATATACTGGTTTCCAAGTTGTAAAAATATTCTTTCACACCCAAAGGTGATGGGAATCAAAGAACGCCTTACATTCAGAACCTGAAATTTTCCAAGATGGCGTCATTCAACCCCTCGATGAATGAACCCAATATGGGCGGAGGTCAGTTTTCGTCTCCCTTTGGGGACCCAGCAGGTGGACCTGGGGGATCCCCAGGGATCCCAGACTCGCCAAAAGCCACCCAACTGAGGGCTCGCATGAAGA